ATGATAATGCTATCGATTTTGTTACAAGGGTGTAGAAACACTGTATTTTGACGGGCATGTAGCGCCAAAGACAAACCTTAATAGATTTATTGTCTGAAACTTTGCATGCATGATTATTTTGCAACTTGGAGATTTTACGGAAATTTCAGGTCAATCGAGTCAATAAAAGTATGGGATGTGTGATAGTGCCATCGATTTTGTTACAGGGGTGTAGAAAACCGCACTATTTTGTCTGTCATATAGTGCCAAAGACAAACTTCTATAGATGGATCTACAGTCTGAAAATTTGGACGCATGATTAACCTACGATTTTTGAAAAATATTTTGAAATTTCAGGTCAATCGAGTCAATAAAAGTATGGGATGTGTGATAGTGCTAATGATTTTGTTACAGGGGTGTAGAAACACGGTATTTTGACAGGCATGTAGCGCCAAAGACAAACTTCTAGATGGACTTATACTACCGGAACCTTTCATGCATGATTATTTTGCAAATTCGAGTACTTTTTTAGAAATTTCAGGTCAATCGGGTTAATGGATGTATGGAATTTATAATAGTGTTATCAATTTTGTTACAGGGGTGTAGAAACACTGTATTTTGACGGGCATGTAGTGCCAAAGACGAACTTCTAGATGGATTTATTGTCTGAAACTTTGCATGCATTATTGATTTTCGAATTGAAGTATTATTATGAAATTTCAGGTCAATCAAGTTATTAGAAGTATGGAATGTTTGACAGTGCCATAGATTTTGTTACCAGGGGGTGGAAAACCGTATTTTGACGAGCATGTAGTGCCAAAGACAAACTTCTAGATAGATCTACAGTCTGAAACTTTGGATGCATGATTAATCTACGAATTGCAGAATTATTCTAAAATTTCAGGTCAACGGGTTAATGGAAGTATGGAATGTATGATAGTGCTCTCGATTTTGTTATAGGGGTGTAGAAACACGGTATTTTGACGGGCATGTGGTGCCAAAGACAAACTTCTAGATGGATTTACTGCCTGACACTTTGCATGCATGATTAATTTGCGAATTCAAGTATTATTTTAAAATTTCAGTTTAATCGAGTTAATAGAAGTATGGGATGTGTGATAGTGCTATCGATTTTGTAACAAAGGTGTAGAAGTACTGTATTTTGACGGTCATCTAGTGCCAAAGACAAACTTCTAGATGGACTTTCTGCCTGAAACATTACATGCATGATTATTTTCCAAGTTGGAGTATATTTTTAGAAACTTCAGGTCAATCGAGTTGATAAAAGTATGGGATGTGTGATAGTGCTATCGATTTTGTTACAGAGGTGTAGAAACACGGTATTTTGACGGGCACGTAGTGCCCAAGACAAACTTCTAGATGGATTTACTGTCTGAAACTTTGCATTCATGATTAATTTGCGAGTTGAAGTATTATTATGAAATTTCAGGTGAATCGAGTTATTAGAAGTATGGAATGTGTGATAGTGCCATTAATTTTGTTACGGGGGTGTGGAAAACCGTATTTTGACGGGCATGTAGTGCCAAAGACAAACTTCTAGATAGATCTACAGTCTGAAACTTTGGATGCATGATTAATCTACGAATTGCAGAATTATTCTGAAATTTTAGGTCTATCGGGTTAATGGAATTGCGGAATTTATGATAGTGCTATCGATTTTGTTACAAGGGTGTAGAAACACTGTATTTTGACGGGCATGTAGCGCCAAAGACAAACCTTGATGGATTTACTGTCTGAATTTTTGCATGCATGATTATTTTGCAAATTGGAGTATTTTACGGAGATTTCAGGTCAATCGAGTCAATAAAAATATGGGATGTGTGATAGTGCCATCGATTTTGTTACAGGGGTGTAGAAAACCGCACTATTTTGTCTGTCATATAGTGCCAAAGACAAGCTTCTATGTTTATCTACAGTCTGAAACTTTGGATGCATGATTAATCTACGAATTGCAGAATTATTCTGAAATTTCGGGTCAATCGAGTCAATAAAAGTATCGGATGTGTGATAGTGGTATTGATTTTGTTACAAGGGTGTAGAAACACGGTATTTTGACAGGCATGTAGCGCCAAAGACAAACTTCTAGATGGACTTACTGCCGGAACCTCTCATGCATGATTATTTTGCAAATTTGAGTATTTTTTTTAGAAATTGCAGGTCAATCGAGTTGATAAAAGTATGGGATGCGGGTTATTGCTATCGATTTTGTTACAGAGGAGTAGAAACACGGTATTTTGACGGGCATGTAGCCAGTGGCGTAACTAGAACGATAATTGGGGGGTTGAATATTCATACATCCAGTTCCGCCCTACGGATTTCTTTTGTAATTGCAATAGCTCACCCCCCCTAATAATCCTTCTACATAGTTACTCCCCTGCATGTAGCGCCAAAGACAAACTTCTAGATGGATTTACTAGACTTTGCATGCATGAATTATTTTTGAATTGAAATTTTATTATGAAATTTCAGTTCAATCGAGTTATTAGAAGTATGGAATGTTTGATAGTGCCATCAATTTTGTTAAAGGGGTGTAGAAAACCCGTACTATTTTGACGGGCATGTAGTGCTAAAGACAAACTTTTAGATGGATCTATTGTCTGAAACTTTGCATGCATGATTAATTTACGAATTGAATTATTATTATAAAATTTCAGTTCAATCGAGTTAATAGAAGTATGGGGTGTGTGATAGTGCTATGGATTTTGCTACAGGGGTGTAGAAACACTGTATTTTGACGGACATTTGGTGCCAAAGACACTGGCGTAGCCAGCATCGATAATTGGGGGGGTCCATATTCATATATTCATGTAAACAGACTGTAAAGACAATTGATTTGAAAAGAAATTAATCCTGCGTATCACGAATATATGAATATGGACCCCCCCCCCAATTATCGTTCTGGCTACGCCGCTGGCCAAAGACAAACTTCTGGATGGCTTCACTGTCTGAAACTTTGCATGCATGATTAATTTACCAATTGCAGTATTATTCTGAAATTTCAGGTCAATCGAGTTAATAGAAGTATGGCATGTGTGATAGTGCTATCGATTTTGTTACAGGGGTGTAGAAACACTCTACTTTACGGGCATCTAGTGCGAAAGACAAACTTCTGGATGGATTTACTGTCTGAAACTTTGCATGCATGATTAAGTTACAAATTGCAGTATGATTCTTAGATTTCAGGTCAATCGAGTTAAAAGAATATATATACAGGGTGTCTCAAAAAAACCCCAAAACTATTGAAATCATGCACTCATTGTTAAAATTTGAATGCCGTGTGCACGAATTTTAGCCCGCGGTGATTTAATGCAATTCAGTAAAATGCTAAATGCTTTGTGTTGCTAGAGAAAGGGGACATGTCGAAGGTCATGGTGATTGAGATGCACATTTAAATATTGTTAAATATCCATATATGTAAATTGAAAATATTGTTAATAAATATCATTTCCGCGAAACAGCAAATTTTACTGCATCATATGTATGCATAAAAATGCTTATGCCTTATGGCAAACATTTACACACTTGTGGGTCCCAACAGAGTGCTTAGGCATTCAAACTTTAACAATTAGATTGTCATGCGATTTATATGATTTAAAGGTTTTCGTTGTTTTTGAGACACCGTGTTTATAAATAAAACTTTGCCTGACATAAGGTTTAGGCGTTTAACGTCATGATGAGGAACATCTATTTCTGATACATATATGACCAGATTGGAGGTCCGTATAGGGAAATATGTCCTTTACGGACCGCCCTATACGGACCGCCTAAAAAGGTTAATAATAGATTTATTGTTTTGAATTCCCGTTTAATTTTGCTTTTAAAAACTCGCGCGGTCAGTACGGACCGCTCGCGTAGTCAATCAGATTGCAGAAAACGCTAAAATATGAATTCGGACCGCAAGAAAAAAATCATTACAAGCAAGATTGAATGTCAAACTATAAACCAATCAGGTTATATTGTGATATTTCGATAGTTGGGCGGAACCTGTCAAAACTGTCAAAATACCACAGTGTAACCTGATTGGTTTATAGTTCTAAGTTCTAACATTCAACGTTTCGATTAAACCCAAGAGTTTAACGGTGGCTTGCAAACAACCTCGTACCCAGGGTAATTTGGCTGTGTTATAGGGGGAGGCAAAACCCTGGGTATGAGGGTGGCTTGCAAATAGCTGTAATAGACAGTAAGAAAAATTATGGATTCTCATGCTAAAGGTAGCTTTATATTAGAGTGGATACGCGGATACGCAGTGAAGTGTTTATCTTAAGAACTATGGATACAGTTTGTTTAAATACATCAGACTCTTAACCTAGAGGTAGCTTTATATTGGAGTGGCAGCAACCGCAGCATGATCTCCTAACAAAATAACAAAATTGTCTGACAGTAAATTGTCGGGAATTGACAGATAAGCACATAAAATACCTTAGGGCAAGCACAATATCATATAACATATTAATTAAGGGAAGGGTTTTTTAATTTAGTTAGTTAGGAAGAAGACACGCGAGAAGCGCGGACGAATACCTTGTGATTTTGGTATATATTCTTTATAAATTTTGTTGTTTGAGACTTTGTGACTTGTCGGGGACATCAGTTTGGGGGCGACATTCCCGATACGTGGCACCTCCGACGGGATCTCTATAACATTAGAGTTTTATGCGAACCGCAAAAGGAACGAAATGGACACAGACGCCGCACAACCCAAGTGCTAGATTCAGGTAGGAAAGAATCTATTAAGAGGCACCTCCAAGCACTAAGAGAAACAGTACGTGAAACAAACGAGTCGAAGCGAGCTGTTGAAACAGCCAAAATCGCAAAAGATGAAAACGCTGATGTTATTGATGCTTGGTACAATGACATCGAAGTTAAGTTAGAGGACGCTGACGCTAAGGCACTAACCCTTGAGAGTTGGATCGCGGATAAGGAACTATCGGAAAAAACTAAGGCACGGGGGGAGCAGGTTAATAGAGATTAGAGAGTTAAAACTACATGAGAAGAAGTTACAAATGCAGCGCGAATTAGCTCTGAGTAAAACCGAGCCGGAAGTTCAGGAATGCAGTGGTTTCAAAACAGCGAAATTGCCAAAACTAGTCATTTCTAAGTTTGATGGCTCGTATATGGTGTGGTCAAGGTTTTGGGGACAGTTTTCCGAAGCTATAGATAAGAGCACGATTCCGCCCATAACAAAGTTTACTTACTTACGCGAGTTACTCGCTCCGAAAATCAGACGGTGTGTTGAAGCTTTGCCATTCTCAGTGGAAGGTTACAATCGTGCCAAGTCAATCCTCACTGATAAGTACGGAAAGGAATCAGCGATTGTCAATAGCTATGTGAAAGAGATATTAGAACTGGCCTACATATCTAACGCGAACACTCGTAAGATCGCGGAATTCAGTGAAAAATTGTCCTATTGCGTGCAAGCCCTTGCTACAATGCAAAAGTTAGAGCACATTCGGGGAAATGTTGCCATGACCCTTGAGAAATTAGCTGGGATAAGGGGAGATTTGGTACGCAGCGACCCTGACTGGGAATCGTGGGATTTTGGGCAATTGAGCGAAGCCCTGCGCCAGTTGGTGAGACGAAACCCTGTCGTATCGAATGACAAGGACCGAGAAGTCAAGCCGCTGTTCAACGCGCATAGAGAAGACGAGAGGATAAAAGGTTGCGTTTATTGCGGGGACAGTGAACATAAAGCAACTCAGTGCACAAAAATCGTAGAGTCGAGCGAGCGTAAGAAAATTCTGGCAAGAAAAGGTTTATGTTTCAATTGCGCCACTAGGAAACACCGCGCTTCCGAGTGCTCTAGTAAGACGTCCTGTCAACATTGCGCGAAACGTCACCAGTCTTCGATCTGTGAAAAGCGGTTGGAAACACACGGAGGTGACGGGGAGCTAAAGATAGACGGCGCAAGTGACGATGGAGTCTTCCCAGTCGTTGTTGTCAAGGTGAAAGGCGTGAAGTGCCGTGCGTTGATAGATTCCGGTGCCGGGGGGTCTAATTACGCGTCGGCGAAATTGATCAAGACGTTAAATACACAACCGAGCGAAGTCAAGTCCCAGCGAATCGAGATGTTGATGGCCACTAAAACCACGCGAATAGAGATGTACGACACTGAAATAAGTTCCCTGGACGAGAGCTTTAAACTCAACGTGAAGGTGTCTAAAGTCGACAAACCCGAGCTGTTGACCGTGAATAACCCCAGTTATGACAGATTGAAGCAGAGTTACGAACATCTACGGGGCGTCGCTCCATGAACGATGTTGATACTAAAGAGAAACTGCCCATACATCTGGTCTTGGGAAACGGAGAGTACGCTCGAGTGAAAACTAGAACCAAACCCCTACTCAGCGGAAAAGATAGCGAGCCGGTGGCGGAAAAGACGAAGTTCGGCTAGATCATAATGAGCCCTGGTATCGACGTAGATCGGGACGCGATGTTGTTGACGCAAACCACACAACACGACGACTTCGAGGATCTTTGTCGGTTAGATGTTCTGGCTTAACTGATGCTAAGGAAAACGACCAACATTCTGTCTACGAAGAGTTCAAAGAACAGCTCGTCAGGAACCCAGCAGGGTACTACGAGACGAATCTTCCATGGAAGCCAAACCACCCTCCGTTGCCAACGAATAAAGCAGGTAGCCGTCGTCGTTTAACCACTCTAGTGAGAAAGTTAAGACGCGAGGGAAATTACGAACAATACGATAACGTGATTCGTGATCAGATCAACCAGGGAATCATAGAAGTAGCGCCGGAGGAACCGAAGGGTAGAGTATTTTACCTTCCACACACGGGAGTCGTCAAGAGCTCGGCAGAGACAACGAAATGGCGTGTGGTGTACGATGCCTCTGCGAAAGAACAAAATAACCAGCCATCTCTGAACGAGTGTTTGAGCCCTGGCCCTCCACTTCAAAATCTGCTTTGGGAAATTCTTATACGTTCACGATTCCATCCTGTCATCCTAACGAGCGATATCGAAAAGGCCTTCCTACAGGTGAGGATAAAGGAACAGGATGAAATATTTCAGGGTCTATATAACTAAAAATATCAACTATTCTGGCGAACCATTTTGACGTAGTAACTCATTTGAAGAAGCATCGGACTAGAAGGTCGAGGTTTTGACTTCCACTGTGGCCAGCTTACGTTTCAGCTTGCCTGTTGGCAATTCAGAGTTGCGACATCACAATACTGAATCTTGTTAAACAACCCTTATTCCTCCATCAGAGATGCAAAAAAGCTGCAGGTACGCGGGTGCCACCCGTGAAGAAGGTTTGCTTTCAATGAGGTTTTAGGAAGTTTCGAAGTTGAACACTTGAATGGTTGAATGTCAAACTATAAACCAATCAGGTTACATTGTGATATTTCGATAGTTGGCGGAACCTGTCAAAACTGTCGAAATATCACAGTGTAACCTGATTGGTTTATAGTTTAACATTCAACGTTTCGGTTACACCCAAAAGTTTAACGGTGGCTTGCAAACAACCTCGTACCCAGGGTAATTTGGCTGTGTTATAGGGGGAGGTAAAAAAAACATGGGTACGAGGTTGGCTTGCAAATAGCTGTAAATAATAGACAGTAAGAATAATTATGATGGATTCTCATGCTAAAGGTAGCTTTATATTAGAGTGGATACGCGGATACGCAGTGAAGTGTTTATTTTAAGAACTATAGATACAGTTTGTTTAAATACATCACACTCTTAACCTAGAGGTAGCTTTACAATGGAGTGGCAGCAACCGCCGCATGATCTCCTAACAAAATAACAAAATTGTCTAACAGTAAATTTCAAAAGCACTCAAAATGAGGAATTGACTAAATTTTCAAAATTAAGGCATTAACTTAATTTGGTAAATCCTAAACCTAACCCCAAACGAGACACGAGTCTATAGCCTTTAGATTTGTTACAATTTCCGCTGCCCACTTTCCGATCGCTTAACTATTTTCGACTGCGTTTCCACGTATCCAATGAAATTGTAGCTACTTGATTTAGTTCGACTAGTGGACGTGTAACGTGCCGAATTAAGAAGAATAGACGCACACACAGTTTACAATTATATATATATTCTTTCAGCTTTACACGTGCAACCTTCTCACTTCGGTTGTACGCTCATACTAACTAACTTGAGCGTCTTGTATTACCATGCATATACTGTCCGGAAGCAGTCTGTTTTATATTAACCCGTTACAGACGGGCATGATAAGCGTTTGCTACTAACCATCTACAAAGGCAAACGAGGATATCGTAAGTCGTGACTAGCGAATCCGGAATCGTGTAACCGGGGCCTTACATATGTGAATAATATTTTTGCACTCTGTCTTCAGTGTTTAGTGGTTATATCTCGCACCTGAGTAAATATTTTATTCACCGTGCATATACACATTGATACTTCCTACCATTTTGTAAATTTGTTGCATTTTATAAACCCTTCAGGTAACGAAATATTACAATAAAAATTTAGAAATGATCTGTCTCAAAAATTTACTCAGAATCTCTACCACTATTCCCAAGAATTTACCAACGCCTTTTACCATTATCAGCACGAATCCCTATCCGCACGAATCCCTGTCCGCATCCGTACATGCGATACTATATTTGGAAGACGATACCATATATGGTGTACGCAAAATTTTTTAAACTAGCTAAAAATATAGAAATAAACAAGAGACAAAATGCATTTTGAAATGTATTCATTACACTTGGCTTTTTGTCTGATAAAGATGCATGATATTTATTAATCTAAAATTATTAAAATAAAGAACGATTTTAGAATAGCAGAGCAGAGGACATGTATTATGAAACTGTATGGTCTTAGTTTTTTAGAGAGGATGACCATGGAATTGATTATTGATGGTATGTTTTTTATAATAATTTAAATGACACAAATATAGATAACTGATCATTTGAAGAAAAAGGTATTTTAGACATTCAAATTTAGTATATTTGTTCCATTTAGCTTGAATATTGGGGGTTTTTTATGAATATATATCTGAATTATAATTAATGTAAAATAGGGCTGTATAATATGAGAATTTCAATTAGGGTGTAGTAATGATGAGATGATTTTAAAATTTTTAGATCAAAACTGAAAATCAAAGAAAGGCTGTGGAAAAGGTGACTATGCCATGTTTTTGAAAGTAAACGTTTCTCAATTCAAGTTAATAAATAAATGCCATTTTTGTGTTTTTTACACTATATTCAGTGTGTTAATGCTTATGCTCATCTTCAGCAAAAAAGGTTTTGATTGCAATCCTTGGCAACTAAATCTGAGCCTCTATGGACGTACGGATATACTGTAGACTATCCTATAAGGAAACAATGTTGTAGTGTGGCAGCAAAAAATACATTTAGTCACAAAAACGTTTGAACTTCTCAACAATTTTACAAAGGATCAATTAATTAGGGCAGATACTTTCAATTTTAGCTATTTATAGCTTATAACAAATATGCAGAAGGTAGCTCAGACAAACAGCTGCTAATGATACCAGCACTGCATGCGAGAGTAAGCACCCCAGCATATGCATATTTCTTCACTAATTTATCAAAGCCAACTAACATTAAGGTAAAGCAGTAGATGAATCATGATCGTCTACTATAGGGTGCATTGTTCCCAGCTGTGGTGCAAGAGCCAAGGAGTTGAACATCAAGACATGTTTCTACAATCTGACCAACTGAAATACATGAAGAATGTAAGTTTTATCACTTGACTATATATAAAGCCCTTTCCAAAACCTGCTATATAGCAACTAATGTAAAGAATTAATAAATATGTGATGAGCACTGTGATTTTTAATTACTAGAGGTAACTTTTCTGTTTCATTTTCTATTAATTATTCTTATGTGAATTGCTTCCTTTTGTAAATGTATTTGTCATACTTTAAATGTATAGAAGGAAAACTTATACACTGTGTCAGGTTGACTTAGTGTTGGGTTCGAGTCCAGCACACAGTTGAAATATCCTTTAAATATACATTTAAGTATGACGTAATAGATTTTGCAACCGAAAAGCAATCAAGACTAAACTCAGAGACGACGCTAAGGCTTTAACTATATCTATGGTTATATCAAATGAAAGTCAGCCCCTAATTAACTCTGATTCTAATTTGATGACCATTGGCGCTGTCTAAACTCTATATTTCAGTTTGTTTCTGGGCGAAACTAACACGATAATTGCGGAAGGTGTGATTATTCATATATTCAGTTGTACAAGCGGATTCTTTTGAAGTTGCACGCACCTACAAAAGCAATCCAAATCCGTTATCATTAAGGTTGTCCATGTCAATTATATACAATATTAAATATCAAACACGTGACCATTAACATGGCTTTTTTTGTTCACTTACCTCTTGTCTCTTTATTTATCAGTTTGTTTACCTTACTATGAAATTTAAGAAATTTTCAGGATAGATTTCCAACGATTTGACGTAAAAGTAACGTTTGCAGTACATCACGTGATCGATATTTACTTTTTATATATTTCCAGGTGACACTTTAATGATAACGACTGTATATATATATATATACACCCATTTGCAAAAACGTTGGCCGCAGATAGATAGATAGATGATACTCGAAATCTAATTAGAATTGCATATGTTGTGTAATATGATTGAAATCCCATGCAAATGTAATCATATGCAATTCTAATTAGACTTCGAGTATCTATCTATCTATCTATCTGCGGCCAACGTTTTTGCAAATGGGTGTATATATATATATATATATATATATATATATATATATATATATATATATATATATATATATATATATATATATATATATATATATATATTTATATATATATATATATATGTCAGTATATATATATAAATATATATATATATATATATATATATATATATATATATATATATTTATATATATATATATATAATTCATCGCTACACTGTGTTTCACGTACTAGTTTTAGTATGATCCTCAGGTTGTAAACAGTTATCGCCTGAGGATCGTACTAAAACTAGTACGTGAAACACAGTGTAGCGATGAAATACTATTTTATGATTATATATGATTATATATACCAAATATGTCTTTAGAATCATATATCTGCTTGTGGATCCAACTTTGTCCTGTCTACTCCGTAGTACCATTTTCAAGATAGTGCAAATACAAGACCAAGTGCACAAGCTAAAGAATTAACTGAACTTGGCCACAGAGAGGATCAAACCCTTGATCCTTAGTTTACTAATCCGATGCTACTTTCCAACTGAGCTACTAGAGCAAGACGGCTCAACCAGTTCAGATTTCGGAATATTATACCTCACACCAAACTTTTCCAATCACATAATTTGTTTTATGCAACATGATCATTACTTTTTTTTAGCGAATACTACGCCCCGAATAGCTCGTACTCCTGATTTTTCCCCGGGTTTGGCATTCAGTCGAATATCACGCTTGAGCCAAAATTGCGTAATTTCTTGAGGAATCTGATTTCAGTTTTTATAAAACTTTGAAAGATTTTGAAGAATTTGGTTCCTAGTCATGTGGGGTTCGGTATAATATCCTAGTTATAGACCTTAAACTCGAGGTATTCGCCCAAAAAATTACCTGTCAGGATGAAATATTTCAGGGTCTATATAACTAAAAAATATCAACTATTCTGGCGAACCATTTTGACGTAGTAACTCATTTGAAGAAGCATCGGACTAGAAGGTCGAGGTTTTGACTTCCACTGTGGCCAGCTTACTTTTCAGCTTGCCTGTTGGCAATTCAGAGTTGCAACATCATAATACTGAATCTTGTTAAACAACCCTTATTCCTCCATCAGAGATGCAAAAAAGCTGCAGGTACGCGGGTGCCACCCGTGAAGAAGGTTTGCTTTCAATGAGGTTTGTTAGGAAGTTTCGAAGTTGAACACTTGAATGGTTGAATGTCAAACTATAAACCAATCAGGTTACATTGTGATATTTCGATAGTTGAGCGGAACCTGTCAAAACTGTCGAAATATCACAGTGTAACCTGATTGGTTTATAGTTTAACATTCAACGTTTCGGTTACACCCAAAAGTTTAACGGTGGCTT